AAATTGGGGCAGAAAATTATTGGTGCCCTGGAGGCCTTGGGCAGAGCAGCCCAGGGCCTGGCATTGCTGGTGATCCTCTCAGGAACCAGGCTGATTCCGGGTGTCTCCTGACTTTCTGGCACTCAAGGGTCCATTGGATGTCAGAGACTTATCAAGGTTCAAGTGGGCCACACAAGAAGATGCAGTATTCTGGTTTTAGATTTTTCAGATTTACACTAACATTTTAGTGACTCTTCTTAAAACATGGTTGTATGGTGAGAAGGGTTTCATCCCACTGTCAGGCTCCCCCAGATGTTCTCTTACAGCATTGACACTAGCCATTGAAAAATGACTTCGAACAAATTTCATTCCTATGGGCAGCCTTTTACAGGGGACACCTCTAAGAGCTCTCTGTTCTGACTTGTGGGATGCTTCTGTGAGAAAATGTTAGTACATCGTAAGTTGCAAAGGGACTACCATATAACAGGTTGACCAAAATTTAAGGCCAACTATGTACCAAGTGCTGAGCTGAATTCTGGGATAAAAAGATAAATAATCTGCTATTTTCTGAAAACCCTACTTCTGATAGCAAACATATTTATCAAAGGAAAAGGCACATACAATCTGATTATGCTATAGTTATAAGGTTAAGGTTGAAAAACTACATATTCATACAACACTAACTCTCCAAGGAGCTATTTACAAATAAGTACAAGAGTTTCTGCTGCATAGAAATGAGAGCACCGCACTTTCTGTGTTTAGAGAAGATATACTAAAGTAAGACATTTCAGATCTCTAGAGTGAGAGGGACTATAAAAAGGAGATACTCTTAATTTAGTAAGGAATATAAGAATAGTAAGTATTCTGTCCCAAAGACAGAGAACCAAATGATGAGCAGAAAATCGATTAAACAACAGAATGTGCAGCTAAAAAACAATACACAGATGTGAGAGGGGAATAAAATGAAAAAAAAAATAAAACTTCACAGTGTGTTCTAAGCATAGGTATAAAATTTAATATATTATATAAGACAAAATTTACGGACTTCAGAAATACC